CTTTGGATATATTATCTGGAGGAATCAGTCCCTAGAGAAGGACAGCATTCTTGGCAAAGTGGAGGGTCAGAGAAAAAGAGGAAGACCCTCAATAAGACTCAAACATAACAACACTTGTGAGGATGGTGCAGGACCGTGTGGTATTGTGCATAGGGTCATTATGAGTCTGAACCAACTCATCAGTATCTAACAGCAACAGGCTCATCAAAAGGCTTTACCAAAAGAGTAAAAATAGAAGCTATAAACTAGAAAAAATCTTTGGAGATGACTTATCTGGGAAGGGTCTAATTTCTATAATATATAAAATCTTTTAATATTTCAACAAAAAAAGACAATGAATCCTAACAAAAATTGGGGTATATGAAAAGACATTTCACCAAAGAGAACAATCAAGTGGTCAGTAAAAACATGAAAAGATACAGATGATCATTCATTAGTCCAAATCCCAAACTAAACCTATTCCCCTGAGTCAAATTTTTATTCATAGCAACTCTATAGCAACCATTGTTGTTGTTGTGTTCTGTCATATCAGTTTCACCTCATAGCAACATTGTAGGGTTTCAAAGAATGCTTGGGGGGTTTGAACTGCTGACCTTGCATTTGCATTCCAATGCTTATCCTACATCACCACACCAGAGCAAACTGCAACTTTGTTGTTTTTGTTGATAGGTAACATTGAGTGGGCTCCTACTGATAACAACCATATATACAACAGAACTATAAAAACCATTAGAGAGAGGATAATGTAATACCATCTCATCACCAAAAAAATGTCAATAATCAAAACAAAACAAAAAAGTTGTGGCAAGATTGTGAGGAGACTGTTGTTTTTGTTGTTATTGTTAGATGCTATTGAGACTAAGGTGTACTGACTGAATCACAGTGACCCTATGCACAGCAGAATAAAAGACTGCCCGTTGCTGCATCAACTTCACAGTCTTTGCTATGCTTGAGCCCATCACTGTTGCCACTACATCAATCCATCTCATTGGAGGTGTTCCTCCTCTTCTCCGATCCTCCACTTTATCAAATATGATATCCTTCTCCAGTGACTGGTCCCTCCTGATAATATACACAAAATATGAGAGACAAAGTCTGGCCATGTTGGCTTCCAAGGAGCACTCTGGTGCATTTCTTCCAATACAGATCTATTTGTTCTTATGGCAGGTCATGGTACTTACAATATTCTACTCCAACACCAAGGACAAATAAATCAATTCTTCTGTGATCTTCCTTATTCACTGTCCAATTTTCACATGAATATGAGGTTATTGAAAATACCATGGCTTAGATCAAGTGCACCTTAGTCCTCAAACCGACATCTTTGCTCTTCAACACTTTAAAAAGGTCTTGTGCAGCACATATACCTAATGCAGTACGTTGTTTTGACCACTGCTTCCATGAATATTCATGGTTGATTCAAGCAAAATGAAGCTCTTTGACAACTTCAATTTTTTTCTCCATTTATACAAATGTTGTTTATTGGTAAAGTGGTGAGGATTTTTGTTTTCTTTACATTGAGAGGAAACACATACCGAAGGCTGTGGTCTTCGATCTTAATCAGTATTTTAAGTCCTCTTCACTTTCAGCAAGCAAGGCTAGATTTCAGCATATTGCAGGTTGTTAATGAGTCTTCCTCTAATCCTGATGCGATGTTTTTCTTCATATAATCCAGCTTCTCAAATTATTTGTTCAGCATATAAATTAAATAAGTATGGTAAAAGAATACAAAATTGGGCACCAACCTTTCCTAATTTTAAAACATTTGGTGTTCCCTTACTCTGTACGAACAACAGCCTCTTGGCTATGTACAGGTTCCTCATGAGCACAATTAAGTTCTGGAATACTCATACTTCACAATGTTGTCCCATAGCTTTTCATGATCCACACAATCAAAAGTCTTTACTAAGTCAATAAAGCACAGGTAAACATCTTTCTGGTATTTCTAGCTTTTATCCAAGATCCATTTGATGTCAGCAGTTATAACCTTCATTCCATATCCTCTTCTGACTCTGGCTTGAGTCTCTGGAAATTCTCTGTCAATGTATGGTTGCAGCCAGTCTTGCATTATCTTTAGTAAAATTTTAATTGGGATATCAAGAAATTGTCCAATGATTTCCTCATTCCGTTGGGTTGCCTCTCTTTGGAATTGTCACAAATACAAATCTCTTC